GATGGAAGCACACGGGGAATGGGGGAGAGATCAAACATAATGAGGTGGGAGGAAGGAAAACAGATGAATAAAACCCAGAGACAGAACTTATACGAGAGACGTGACAGACTAACCAGGGAGGGAACAAACTAAACCAACAAGAAGTACAAATGATTACACTTGGAAGAATGAGGAAACTAAACAATAGCAAACGAGGACATAAGAAACATAGAAACACTGTGTTAGCGTGACAGCAGGACAGCGTCATTCACACATCGTCACAGCCGCTCTCGTCTTCAAGAGCGCAGCATTTCATATGTTGCTTTGAGAAAACAGTCATGGTGTGGATAAGTGCAGTCATGTTTTGGGGAAGTACGATCTGACGTTGGCCACATTTCAGATCAACAGTGAGCTTATTTGTGTCTGTGTGATACCTCCTAATGCGTTAGCTCACCACATGAACGTACGGCAGCCTGAATGTGCAGACGGTGAATATCACAGACTGTCTGTCGACGTGAACACTGCCCATGAGACTGTTATACAACATGTGTTCACAAATATACCCCACTAAATGAGAAACAGCTTTTATTAAGTTACTAACTAATACCAAGCAGAGCTGCAACTGCATCCTATTTGGCTTTGTGGTTTGACAGAGAAAAATAAATTTATAAATAGTTCCACCGAATTTCTCTGGAAGTCTGTCCATGGGCCAAATCCAGCACGAATCTGCCAAATTCGGCTCAGCGAAAGCCAATGTGTAACCAGAGTGATGCAAAAACACAGACTAAACTGGCACCTCTCGAGTCCTGTGGGGATTTCTGCCTATTCAACTAAAACAAAACTTCTAAGGAATAATGTGTACAGTTACTGTCAATGATACTTCAGGAATTTAATGCTAAAGTCAGCCAGATGCAGCCTGCGGGAGAACATTTACAGTTTACTGCCTCAGCTGTAAACGCTGTTAGCCTGGCTCTGACTCACGGCTCTTGAACAGTTGAGACTTCAATATTTGAAACAGCTTATTAGTTCCAACATATCGAGGGGTCTTACAACGCAGTGGAGATCCCTTTACAGGCCCAGCGACGTGAACATGATGCGTAGTGGTTACATACAGTTGTGGTCAGATGTTCATCACAGGCATGAATTTCAGGTCATTTTGGATTTTTAA